ATCTTCTGTGTCTGTATTAATTGGTTTCCCTTTTCTTTGTTGAAGAGGGTCTGTGCAATCCTTCTGCCTAGTCCGCCATCTTGCCCCGCCTCAAGAATTAATTCTTTAAATAAAAGAAATCATTGATTTCTGTGTGAAATCAAACTGACAACAGCAATAGGAAAGATTGGATGGGAGGCTTACATGGCAGTGAGTTTAAGATAATGGTGCTGAAATAATTTGGAAAAGCCTAGCCAGAATGGTAGCACAACTTGAAAATGTAATCACTGTCACTGAAAAGTACATGTAGAAATTGTTGAAAAGGTGTATCTTTGGTTGTATATACTTTCACCAATAATAGTAATATATTTTTTTAAAAAAAGTGATGGTCAGCATATCCACTTCTATTGGTTGGGCAATCCTACTTCCGCAGTGATACTGCCTCGGAAACCCAAGGAGGGGTCGCTATGAGTCAGGGCCGACTCGACGGCACGTAACAACAACAACAACAATTTTCACTCCTTGGTTCCCAGACCAATACATTCTAACCACTGGGGATGCTGTGTCAGAGGAACCAGTGTCAGAGATTTTCTCTTGGCTTCTCCACTATAATAACTCTTAACCTTCAGACTAAGGAAGTCCCAGTGTGGGAGTTCTACCAACTACTAGTTACTATATTGTTTGGATGTTGAAGAGAATAAGAAATACAAGAAGGCAGGAAAGAAAAATTTTCATTTCAAAGTAATCTTCTTGATTTCAGAAGTAGGGAAATAGGTTAAAGCTACTAGCAGAACTGTCAGCCTCTCTGCTCAAATTCTACTTTGAATAGTAGTTAAGTTCAACTAAATACATGTCCTTTTACTTTCATCATAGACATATGAGAGGTTATTATTATTTTCATGATTACTTTGATTATGTTGGCAAACATTTAAAAGAACACAAATATAAATGTTTTTAATATATTAGGAGGAATTGATCATGAAAAAACTTTAACATAATGTTTCTAGTTAAAATATTTGAATGTTAGTGTACATGGAAAATACATAACATAAATATTATATAAATCATATATGTAATAATTTCAGTAAATTAGTATTTGAGTCTTGATTGATTTTATCAATGATATTATAAATTGATCTCTTCTGATTTGATGTGAATAGAATTTTAATAGTCTCTAGGACTTTGTCCAAGTGTAGCATCATCATTTTCTGTAACGATATAATCTTTGAATGAACAGGATTGATTACCTTGGCTCAAAGTCAAAAGACCACGGATTTCATACTTGATATACAATAATTGCAAACATGATGCTTATTCTGTACTGAGCATTTTTCTGTTGTTGTCAGGTGCCATCAAGTTGGTCCCATCTCATGGTGACACCATGTACAATAGACTAAAACACTGCACAGTCCTGGGCCACCACAATCATTGCTATGCTTGCGTCTATCATTGCAGCCACTATGTGAATCCATCTTATTGAGGGTCTTCCTCATTTTCACTAACCACCTACTTCCTGATCTCAATATCCTTCTCCAGGGATTGGTCCCTTATGACAACATGACCAAAGTATGAGAGGTAAGACTGGCCATTCTTGCCTCCTCCTTAGGAGCATTCCAGCTGTGCGTCCTCCAAGACAACTTTGTTCATTCTTCTAACAGTCCATGGTACATTCTTCACCAACACCATAATTCAAAGGCATCAACTCTTCTTTGGTCTACCTTATTCATTGTCCAGCTTTCACATGCATATGTTGTTGCTGTTGTTATGTGCTGTCAAGTCGGACCCAACTCATAGCAACCCCTCCTTGGGTTTCTGAGGCAGTATCATTATGGAAATAGATTGCCCAACCTTCCTTCTGAGGAGTGGCTGGTGAGTTTGAACCACCAGCCTTCTGGTTAACACTCAAGTGCCTATGAGGCTACCAAAAATACTGTGCCTTGGGTCAGACACACCTTAGTCTTCAAAGTGACATTTTTGCTCTTTAACCCTTTAAAGAAATCTTTTGCAGCAGATTTGCCCAGTGCAATACATTGTTTGATTTCCTGACTGCTGCTTCCATAGGTGTTGATTGTGGATACAAGTAAAATGAAATCCTTGACAACTTCATCTTTTCTCCATTTATCATTTTTATTGGTCCACTTGTGAGGATTTTCATTTATTGATCTCCATCAGTAAGTGCTTCAAGTCTTCTTCACTTTCAGTAAGCAGGGTTGTGTCATCTGCATGTCAGAGGTCATTAATGAGTCTTCTTCCAATGCTGTGTTCTTCTTCCTCTAGTGCAGCTTCTGGGATTATTTGCTCAGCATACAGATTGAATAAGTATGATGAAAAGATACAACCCTGATGTCCACCTTTCCTGATTTTAAAACATACAATGTCCCCTTGTTCTATTTGAATGACTGCTTCTTAGTCAATGTACAGGTTCCTGATGAGGATAATGAAGTATTTTGGAATTCCCATTCTTTGCAAAGTTATCCATAATTTTTATGAACCACACAGATGAAAGCCTTTGCATTCAAACATTGTTCTAGGATCATTATATTTTCCATTGATAATTGATATATTTTAAAGGACAAATGAAACATCTATAGTTTAAACACAGTGACATGTTTCAAGTTAATTTTTAATTCTTTCTTTAAAATCATTAATTTGGGAATTTATTATTGAGTAGGAGCTCTGGTGGCATAGTGCCTAAGGCATTTTACTGCTAACCAGAAGGCTGGTGGTTCAAACCCACTAGCCACTCCTCGGAAGGAAGGTTGGGCAATCTACTTCCGTAGATACCGCCTTGGAAACCCAAGGAGGGGTCACTATGAGTTGGATTCGACTCGACAGCAGTGGGTTGGTTTGGTTTGATATTATTGAGCAAAAGTTGCTTATTTGTTAGGCTCAGCACAAATGCATATCGACAAACAATTTGTCCGTTTTTCCTCTTTCTCTCTCTCCTGTGGCAGATGGTACGTGAGCAATACACCACAACTACAGAAGGCACCCAGATAAAAAGGCCAGATGAGCAGCATGTCTATAAGATTGGCATTTACGGCTGGAGGAAGCGTTGCCTCTACTTGTTTGTTCTTCTTCTACTCATCATCCTAGTTGTGAATCTGGCTCTTACAATTTGGATTCTTAAAGTGATGTGGTTTTCCCCAGTAAGTATTTTTTCTTAGTCAGCATGTTCTTTGTGTTTTGTTTGCTGTATCACTTCACCTGCATTATATAGATAGAAACTGGTGGTGCGATGGGTAAGGCACTTGGCTGCTAGCCATAAGTCTGGCAGTTCAAACCTATCAGCCACTCCACAGGAGGACGATGAGGCAATCTACTTCCAAAAAGATTGACAGCCTTGAAAACCCTATGGGGCAGTTCTACAATGTTCTCTAGGGCCAATGTCAGTCAGAATCCACTCAATGGCAATGGGTTTGGTTCTTTACTAACCCCATCACAATTTGTGGTAGCAAAAGATACATAGAACATTTATTTTTTTTTCTTTCCTTTTTACCTCAATGTGAACTATAGTGGTTATTATTATTATTATTACTACTACTATCGTATTTTTTTCATTGTCTATTCATGGTGAAAAATTGTTAACATCTTGAATTTATGGTTGATTGAGTCAAGTTTGCTTTAGATTGATTCTTCTTCATTTTAGTCAAGTTTTAATGATTCTTCAATCAGTTTGTAACATTTTTTAAAGCATATGTTTTTCTGATCTCATACATTAATAAATATTTAGCATATAGATGCTACACTCTCATTTTTTAAAATTCCATTCTGATGTACAGTAAATTAATGTCCATATTTCAACATTTAGCAACAGATTTAGTAAACAAAATCATTCAATAGTCCTAAGTGATTCATATCTTAGATTAACTATCCTGTGGTTTTAAAGACAGTTGGCTAGTTTCATATGTTTGATAGTATTTTGTGTTTATTTAAAAAAAAAAAAAAAACATTGAAGTTCAATGCAGTAATTTTTCAAGATAGCTATGAGGGAAAATTGAAGGAGTTCTGGTGGTGTAGTGAGTGATTAAGGCATTTGACTGCTAATGAACAGGTCAGTGGTTCAAAGCCACCAGCCGCAGTTCGAAGCCAGAGCACTACAGAAGTGAGGCAGTCTGCTTCCATAATATCTGCAGCCTTGGAAATCCTAATGGGGCAGTTCAACTCTGTCCTCTAGGGGTGCTGTGAGTTGGAATCAACACCCTGGCAGTGGGTTTGGTTTGCTTGCATAAAGATTACACCCTTGAAAACCCAATAGACGTGGCTGTGAGCTGCAATAGAATCTATGGCAGTGAGTTCGATTTTTTTTGGTTTATGAAGGCCAAAGGCTGCCATGAATATCAGTTTAATTGAATTAATCCCATTAATTAAATTAAATTTTACTTTCTACACAATCACTTTTATCCTGCCATAGTTTTATAACCAACACTTACTTTGTTGACGTGATAAATAAATACTTATATTTCATATAGGATTTTTGGTGGTATAGTGGTTAAAGCATTCAACTACTAATCAAAAAGTTGGCCAGTTCAAACCCACCAGCCACTCTGTGGGAGAAAGATGCAGCAGTCTCCTGTGAAGATTTATAGCCTTGAAAACCCTGTGGGGCAGTTCTACTGCGGCCTACAGAATTGGCATAAGGTAGAACTGACTTGATGCCAGTTGGTTTGGTTTTTGGTATATTTTTACATATGCATAGAGGAAGAATACCAATTGAATAAGAAAATGTGTGTGTCCAGATATACATATACCTATAGCATAGTGCCTAAGGCACTTGACTGCTAACCAGAATGCCGGAAGTTCAAACCCACCAGCCACTCCTCAGAAGGAAGGTTGGGCAATCTACTTCCATAGTGATACTGCCTCGGAAACCCAAGGAGGGGTTGGTATGAGTCGGAGCCGACTCAACGGCACATAACAACAACAACAGCAACAACAATAAAATAATACATAAAATTACATATGTGTGTGTGTGTGTGTGTGTATGTATGTATATATATATATATATATACACACATACACACACACACATACATACATATACATGGGAGCTCTGGTAGCACTTGTGGCTAAAGCACTTGACTGCTAACCAGAAGGCTGGCGGGTCAAACCCACCATCCACTCCTCGGAAGGAAGGTTGGGCAATCCTACTTCCGTAGTGATACTGCCTCAGAAACCCAAGGAGGGGTCGCTATGAGTCGGGGCCGACTCGACGGCACATAACAACAACAACAACAACAAAATACATATACATATACATATACATATATATATACATATATATATATATATATATATATATATCAATAAAACCAAACCAAACTCATTGCCATTGAGTTGATTCGAACTCATAGTGACCCCCGTTGGGTTTCTGAGGTGGTAAATCTTTAAGGAAGTAGATTGCCCCATCTTCCTTCCACGGAGCAGCTGGTGGGTTTAAAATGTCGACCTTTTGGTCAGCAGTCAAATGCCTTAGGCACTATGGCACCAGAGTTCCATATATATATGTGTGTGTGTGTACATACATATACATACACATATACAGATATATATATGAACTTTGGTGGCCTTGGAAACCCAAGAGGAGGTCGCTATGAGTCAGATCTGACATGTTGGCAGGGCATTTGTTCATTCATGTGTGTGTGTGTGTGTGTGTGTGTGTGTATAAAACCAAATTCACTGCCATCGAGTCGATTTCCAACTTCTAGCAACTCCCACTGTCTTTCAAGACAGTAAATCTTTTTGGACACAGACTGCCTCATCTTTCTTCTGTGGAGGGGCTGGTGGGTTCAAACCACTGACATTTTGGTTAACAACCAAATGCCTTAACAACTACAGCACATGGTTAGCACTCAGAAATACTCCTTGAATGAATGATGATGGATATTATTTAGAAATATGTGAGAAATTATTTTATCTGTAAATATAAAGTGGCATTATGTTTAGTTTAAACTCTTATTGTATATTGTAATATTTAAAACAGCTTTGAAGTATTATAAATTTAGATTAAGCTGTGGCAGTCTCTGAATCCACTTCATGAATTTAGAATAGCTAACCAGGGAAATCAAGGAGTTCTGGTGGTGTAGTGTTTAAGGCATTTGGCTGCTAACCAAGAGGTTGGTGGTTCGAACCCACCAGTTGCTTCCCAGAAGAAGGATGGTATCGTCTGTTTCCATAAAGATAAGATTTACAGCCTTGGAAACCCAGTGGGGGTTGCTATGAGTCAGAATCGACTTGATGGCAGTGAGTTGTTTTTTCTTTTTTAAAAAACCAGGGAAACCAGCAGAACTTTTTCTGTCATCACCACAGCTGTTCCACGCTAGCACTTCTGAGTGAGAGATCTGAGTTTTAACATTGTTGTAAGTGCTGTTGAGTCGTTTCCAACTCATAGCGACCCCACGCACAACAGAACGAAACACTGCCCGATCCCGCACCAGCCCCACAATCCCTGCTATACTTGAGCCCATCATCGCAGCCACCATGTCAATCCATCTCGTTGAAGGCCTCCCCCTCTTTCGTCGACCCTCCACCCTACCAAGCATGA